TTTGGGCAAATCTCCGCCGCTCGCGATCGTCACCGACCCCAACAGCTTCCCCAGCTCCTCGTCGTTCCTCACCGCCAGCTGTATATGCCTCGGCACGATTCTGGTCTTCTTATTGTCTATGGCCGCATTTCCGGCGAGGTCAAGTTCCTGAAATTCGAACTCTAAAATCCATAAAACAAAATAAGAAATGACTCGATAAAAATCACGCCGTTGATTTCAACTAAAGCCCACGAAGGCTTAGATGTTTTTAAACTTCAGTCAAACCTCTGCGGCGAGATACTCAAGAACGGCGGAGACGTAGACCGGTGAGCCCGACCCGACGCGCTCGGAGTAGCGACCTTTTTTTTCAGGAAACGGAAAGCGACCCGACCCACGGGAAACTGGAGGCCCGCTTTTGAGGATCTTGAGACGGCCTTCGACCTGGTATTGTCCCGGCCGCTGCTTGACTTTGCTCCGGTGGTTTTCTCGCTTATGATTTTAGCCGGAATTTCGGTTCGTTTTGTTTCGATTAAAAAATGATTTCAATGCGAGTAGGAAGTGAATTAGTTAATGAGGATATATAAAGAGGAAAAAAAAGTTGTATCTGATTGGTGGATTTCTTTTCACCTGGATCGCCAGCGTGGAATACTTACCCGATCTCTATCTATTTGACGGTCAGGATTTATCGAAACTGCATCGAGGGATAGTGAAGATTGCCAGCGTGGCGTGTTTTTCGTTCTTTTATCACTATAGAATAGACAGTCCCGCTCACCTGCCCACGTGGGGCAGTACCCACTAGTTTGTTTTATATCAAAAACGTATTTTGAGAATACGTTTTTCAATTAAATTTAATTGAAAAACGTATTCTCAGAATACGTTTTTCATATAAAACAAACTAGTGGGCACTGCTCACCGTGGGTAGAGGAATATATTTAATAGAATAGAATTGGTTTCTCATTATGGGCCTCTGGGGAGAAGTAGCCCGTTTGAATTGCTCTAACAGTCGTTTGGGCCTTACTTTGTAGTTGAGTCGCTTTCATCGCATTTGGACCAGTCTTCTCTACCCACATCTTGCATTTGTCATTTAGTTACCAATATTTTTATGAACCCAGTTGAAGGCCCATATCAAAACTGGATGAGTTCATGGCAATCATCTTATCTTAACTAAAAGAAAATGTTATCAATACGAGTGTATGGTTAGTATCAAAAAGCTTTATAATTAATTTATGAGTTTTCTATACGCAAACAGGTTTGTTTGATAGGACGAATTTTTTTTAATATTAAAAAAAAATAACTCGAGCATATCTCATAAACTTCCTCTGATAATTTCTTCGTATAATCTTGTTGAAATTTTTATTTCTAACATGTAATTTTACCACAAATTTAATATTTGAGCTATTTTTTAGTTATAAATTATCAGCTAACTAGGTTTACCAAATATAGCTCGTATATAATGGAATTGTGGATGTCAATTTTCAAACATATTTAATTTTTTGTTGGGAAAAAAAAAATGAAATCTTAAATAAGAAAATTTTACATATAAAGACAGAGAAAAATTCTGACAGTGACTTAAAAGCAGGCATTTGTAATAATAAAAAGGCATCAAAATATCCAAGAGGAAACACATTAAACCCTTTCCTTATTGAGAGGACAGACTGAAGCTCGG